TCCACACCAATGGAGAATTACTGAAACTAATTGCTTGGCCAACTCTGTGAGAACTAACTCTTTTGACATATTTGTCCTACAGATATGGCTTTCTCAAAGTCTATCGGGGTTAGGGTAATGTCGGAAATCTGGCATACATTGATGGAGTTTTGAGGCTTATTCATGAAAAAAAATCATTTGGATTGTCGATCTTTAGACTGATTAGTGGTTCGCTAAATACAAAGTCGTATTGGAATTTCAGTACCTCACTCATTTCTTTGTTGTCATCTGTATAAGTCCTACCTTGTCTGAGCAAGGACCCGATACTAGATGTGGTATTTGCCTTGTTTTTGGCATATGAAAAGACATATTTCGAACTTCTTTCAATTTCACTAATCACTTTTAGCTCCTACTGTCTCTCCTGGGCCCTGTATGAGTCCTTTAACTTAAGTTCGATACTTTCCACTTCCCAGGTCAGCTCTTCCTTCCGTGTATTAGATAATCTAGCGTTCTTGAGGAGCTCAGTGATTCTTCGTCTTCTGTAGAGGGAGTGTCTTTCTCCAGTTTACTTCTTCTTTTCTTCTTTCTTAGGGGAATATGCCTTGAACATACTTCAGCTACCAGGGAGTTGATCCTTTCAAGGCACTGGTTTGGATCCATGTTATTTAAAATATCTTCCCAACATGGTTCATTAAGACATGGTTCACCTGATCCCAGTTGATGTTCTTGTTGAAGTTGTATTTGGTGAAGACACCTTCACAGCTATGTGGATTTTGCTGATCAGGGCTCCTGTTTGTAAGTCTGAACTTCGATTAGATTGTGAACGGAATTAGTTGTTTTTGATATTATCAAGTATGTTTTCCAGTCTTGTTGGCTCCACTATCTGCTGACTTAGGGTGTGTTTATCACAGAGATTTAGTAGCTCATGTGTGTGTGACCTTTCATCTTCGCTACCTCCAGGGATTGTTTCTGCTATAACATTATTTGCTACATTCTTCCATTTTGTATGCCTTATGTTGAAATCACCAAACAGTAAGATGTTTGGGGATGGAGCTGACGTGTGTCAGTCGCAGAGATAAAAACTGTGAGAAGAAAATCACACGAGTGAAGTGCACTCAGTGCTGAAAGACAACTGCTCTCTGTTTCTGAGCATGCATCCTCTAAGACCTGCTGATACACACAGGTGAGGTGAGTACAGTGAAGAACCGACACTTAGTGCAGAACAAGCTTTTGTTTGGCAAACGTTTTGCTCTTGTATCTTTACTGTTGTCAAAAGTACAATGATTGAATCCCATTCTATTTGTGACTTTTTTTATAGTGTTCTTTATTCACTATTGGTATCTTTGACCTCTTATTGGTGCTCAGAACGTTCTCTCATGCGTTTTAACCCATCAATAAAACGTGGAGAAAGTACATGGGTAAAAATATCTCGCATCAAGTAAAGTCCAATGTGATGTGATGGAGAGAGGCGACCTACTCGTAAATCCTCCTACTCCTTCTTCCATCCCTCCCTCCCTCCTGTTCCTCCCATGGATCAGTAGGCGATGCTCTCGCCTCACACACTGAGCATCCGTGGTTCAATCCCCGGCATACCTGGAGGTTACCTGGAGGTTATTCCGGGTATCAACGCCCCCGCGGCCCGGTCCATGACCAGGCCTCCCGGTGGATCAGGGCCTGATCAACCAGGCTGTTACTGCTGGCCGCACGCAGTCCAACGTACGAGCCACAGCCCGGCTGATCCGGCACTGACTTTAGGTATCTATCCAGCTCTCTCTTGAAGGCAGCCAAGGGCTTATTGGCAATTCCCCTAATGCTTGATGGGAGGCTGTTGAACAGTCTTGGGCCCCGGACACTTATGGTGTTTTCCCTTAGTGTACCAATGGCTCCTCTACTTTTAATTGGGGGATTTTGCATCGCCTGCCCAGTCTTTTACTTTCGTAGGGAGTGATTTCTGTGTGCAGATTTGGGACCATTCCTTCCAGGATTTTCCAAGTGTAGATTATGATATATCTCTCCCTCCTGCGTTCCAACGAGTACAAGTCAAGTGCTTCCAAGCGTTCCCAGTAGTTAAGGTGCTTGACAGAACTTATACGTGTAGTAAAGGATCTTTTACACTCTGGGTAGAAACGTTGGCCATGTTTCCTTACATCTGCTGTCCCTGTTCACTTAGCAGTAAATAGGTACCTGGATGTTAGTTGACTGTTGTGGGTGGCATCCTGGGGGACAAGATTGAGGACCACAATGGAAATAAGACAGACAGTCCTTGATGATGCACTGACTTGTGTTATTCTGGGTGACTAATATTCCCACAGGTTAAAAATCCGAATAAATCTTATCACACAGCCCCACACTCTCCTCTTTCTCATACTCTCACTTTTCTCTCCCTATCAAACCCTCTGTACCCGTCAGATCCCCCTGTCCCTCTCCTTTGCCCGAAATGCCTAGTCATGCTAGGTGTGATAGTGGTCCTCTCTGTAGCTAGTTTTATATATGTAAACCACACAATATCCTATAATATGTAAACCCTACATTGCAATCTTTATAAAGAATAAACTTGATTTGATTTGATTTGATCTCAAACCCTCTGTACCCGCCAGATCCCCCTCTCCCTCTCCCTCTCAAACCCTCTGTACCTGTCAGATTCCCCTCTCCCTTTCCTTCTGTCCCTCTGTACCCGTCAGATCCCCCTCTACCTCTCAATCTCTCTCTACCCGTCAGATCCCCCTCTCCCTCTCCCTCTCAAACCCTCTGTACCCGTCAGAACCCCCCCCCCCTTTCCATCACACCTCCCACACCCAGTGTGGTCAACAAGAGCACTCATGGTCAGCTGGTCCCACGCCCCTCGTTCCACCACCTTTTCCCTCCTAACCCTTATCCTTTTATACCTCCCCTTACACACCACCCCATGAACCCTCTACATTTATTATCCCTCTGTTCCCTACCACCAACAGTAATGGTAACATTCATACATTATTTACGAGGCATGAACCAAGTTTTTCTCACGGTGTAATAACTTTGAACACTTCCAGGATTATATTATCAATAACGATATGACTGTTTTATAGTTATTTATATTTAGACGCTCATAAATTTATCCGCTACTGAAGTTTTACACTTATATATATAAAATATTCAGGTGTAAGGTCATATGTGAGGTGACATCTCAGCCTCATAAGCCTTCTGTTATCTTATTATTTTTACAGTTCCTTGATGTGAGAAATCACGAATTAAGTAAGTTTATTCAGGTATACACAAATACAGTTACATAGATTATCATAGCAGCATATCTGTAGAGAACCTAGGATAACCCAAAAAAGTCAGAGTGAATGTCCCTTAGAAATTCACTATTTTTTTCATATGGATTTTGAACTAAGAGCATGAGGGCTTTCAATGTAATCCCTCATTTAAAGCTAGATCAGTCACTGAATTAACTTACAATTCAAAAACTTGAGGTGGCAATGGGTGCCATAGGTTTGTCACAGAACATAGGTAACATGGCCAGTGTTTCCACTTGTGCTGGCATCGAACCCGGGGTCCCACGGATGTGAGCCGAATGAAGGCGCTACGAAGTGAGGCAATAAATACACAAACGTACTCGCTCCGCTGACCAGACAAAAGCTACAAACTTCACATACATCATTTACTATTATAGAAAATTAGTATATTGAAGACTAGAGCGTTTTGAGATGCGTGTTGCTAGTCATGCCGTTTAATATAGTTTCCCCACAAAATTGATACACTGGTTTTCTCTCATTCATAATACAATAATTTAATTTTTCTGTATATCTTTCTCTTTCCGTAATTCCATCACATGTTATATACGACGAGAGGTGCTCACTTAAATGTGGTTGCAGGGGTCGATTCACAGCTCCTGGCCCCGGTGAGAATTTTACTTTAATTCCCATTTTTGGTATTAAAATATTGCCTGGTGGTCAAAATGTTGCGTGCAGCCGATAGACTTTTAACGCTCTTCACCATTAACCAATTTCATCTCCCTATCTATCTTTCTCCCCGGGTAATTTAATCATCTTTCTGCCCTGGTAATTCCATCTTTCTGCATATCTTTCCTCTTGAGTTATGTGATGGGAAGTTAGCAGCAGAGAGAGACATGATGTGACAGAATATCTGTGGAGTGGGACCATCACACACACACTGACCCAATAACCTTACAACACAGGATTTTCACCACAGCAGAGAAAGCTTAGCCGAGGGAGACATGACAGGAGTGCGTTCCTCCTTCCTAACTACTGATGACCTTCACTACCAACACTGTATATACACCGACGGGTGTATATCTGTCGGTGTATACACCAGTCATGTTGAATCACGGCTGAACATTTCCGGGGACCAGGATTCGGTTCGCTTCCAGCTCAACCCGAATGGTTCCAGGACCGGTTTGCTTCCAGCTCAACCCCAGTGGTTCCAGGACCGGTTCGTCCTCACCGAACAAGATCTTAGATGCAGACAATGATAATAATAATAATCTTTATTTCTACAAGTACATGTATAATCGCCTATATATACACTGTCATTTTAATCTAATATGTCCTAGTGTTGACTATCTTTTTCAATTGAAGTGAAACCCTCATGTCAATTCCTACTCATTTCTAATTCACTTCATAAGCCCACCTTATACGTTTTCTTTATATCTTTATTGATTTTGGTAAAAGTAAGTTTTATATTGATGTGCTTACTTCATTTCGCATATTTGTTACAGTGTTTTTCAGTAAAAAAAATATTTTAATAAATGGTCCTAAGCCATGGCCTGAGTGGCCAGTGTGTTAATCTGGCCATCAACATGAGTCCATATTCAAATTTCTCACAATTACGTACCTATTCATTGGAAATTTATTATTATTAAAAAAAAGATAAAAATCACTTCGCTTTTGAGCGTCGCAGTTGGTAAAGGCTCAATCCTCCATCTGATTACTTAAAAAAGACCAGCTGTAATCAAAACGTATCCACACTAAAATAAGTGTTCTCATACACGGCTGTTGAACATTACTTTTTTTATTTTGCAGGAAAGATGGAGGTGGTGACGCCGTTTACCGTGTGAGAGAAAGGTGAGTTAGTGGGTTGTTTTGTTACCTTATAGAAATGCCATACAACATCGATATGAGGTGGTCAGTCCCCTCAGACCAGGACCCCTTCAGGCCGAGGGACTTATCGCCTCATGTCTAAATATGCACGACTTTTGCTGTCTCCTCTTGTGTTTCGACTGAAGAAGGCAGCTGAGCAGGCGAAGCACTTTAGTAATAAAGATAATAAAAGGTTATCTTTATTACTGTTGTTGGTGTGTTGTATCTTGTCTAAAGCTGCGATCTACCTAAAGCCTATCAGACAAACTTAAATGTCTTAAGTAGCGTTTAAAGTAAATTCTGAGTGTATATACACTGAGATATATACATCTCAGTGTGTGTATATGCTGGAGATACGTACGTCTCAGTGTATATACACTGAGTGTATACACTGGGTAACTTTCATCGTACATACACTGACGGGTATCCATTTCTCAATGTATGTGCATTGTAACACTCCCTCACTCCACAACCTCTCAGCGTGTAACACTCCCTCCACAACCTCTCAGCGTGTAACACTCCCTCCACAAGCTCTCCACCATGTAACACTCCCTCACTCCACAACCTCTCCACTAGAAGCAACTCTTTCCTCTCGCTGCACCAATTACAGTTATTTGTGTATATATATATTTCCCGTGGTGCGACTCTTATCTCTTGCAAGATACATTCTTGGGTGGCAGGTGAACAAGCCAGTCCCACATTACCATTGTTGCAATGGTGGCTCACAGCCCACTTTCTTTTCCCTCTCGTTCCTCCGTCTCAGATCATCGTTTGATTAGCCCATTTACAACTCTCTGTAATATAAATGCGTTTTAATCAAACATATTAACTGGAAGATTTCTCCAGAATCCGACTGCCACCAACATTGTCCGGTATAATATTTACTCCTGTTGTCAATAATATCAAACATATTCAGAGTTCTTTATTATAAAGTGTAAATATTCAATATAATCCACACACGGTCAACAGTGCTGGAAATATCAAATATTGATCCATGTTACTAAACGTTATTTAGTTGTTTTTAACACTGGTCACAGTGCGCTGTGCCCGGTGAGGACAAGTATTAAATTATAATAGTTCAAATGAAAATTTATTGTTGCCATTGAGGAACATATAAGGTAATAACCAGTGTAGTGACTGTGAGGCTTATCACTATGGGGGCGAAACATTGTTGTTAATATGGTACGTACTGTATGGGTGAAAAATTGTAAATAATAAAGGTATGCACTACATCTCTAAAGTGTTCTTACTCCATCGGTGCATCAGTCTGGTGTCTCCAGTTTCCAGGACCTGCAAGCTCTCAGGTGTACATCTGCAAGAGTGCTTCAGCAGATCAGTTTCACCTCGGTGATATTCATCTGCGCAAATCAGACGGAAAATGACACCAAATAAGAAAATATCAATGGTATTACCATAGCTCGTTGTCCACAGTAACTGGAGCCTCAGCTGTACACATCCAGGCTATGAAGTTGAACGTATCCCCAAGCTGAGGGACTGATCACCTCAGACTACTACAAGACTGATGGACTGATTACATCATCTTTATCTCTCCACTGCTTCTTTTGTCTCCTTATGTGCCATCTCTGTATTCGACTGAAGAAGCCCACTGTGTAAGCGAAACGTTTCGGCATAATGATACACAACTGTTGCTCACGTGTCTTACTTATCTAGGTATACAGACTCGTCTTTAACTAACACTTGACCGTCGAAGAGTGATGACTGGATATCAACAATGGAAAATAATTATGTATACGACACAGTGAATCGACATGAATTGACGCGTCAAGGAAACACAGATGACCATTAAAAACAGAAGACTTGCGCACTTTTACAGCTTTGAAGAATACATCACAATACCAGTGGCTGAAACAATTCACACAAAAAAACTGCATTTTGAAGGGACTGAGAGGTGTTGTGTAGCAGAGCAAGGAAGACTGAGATGACGTGTGAGGTGATGAGTAGCAGGGCAAAGAAGACTGAGGTGATAAGTAGCAGGGCAGGAAAGACTAAGGTGATGTGTGAGGTGTTGTGTAGCAGGGCAGGGAAGACTGACTACTCACGATCAACAAAACACTAAACGTGTCCAGGTGTTCCAGTACACTTGGTCACTAAGGACAGAGGGGAAAAAAATAATGCCTGAAGTCTAGGAAATGAACAATTTAAGATTCGTCATGTATGTCAGTCCTGGGAAAGAGAGTTACACCTGAACAACGACTGGAAACCCCCCAGCAGATGAGCCATAAGCATCAGATTACCCTCGTTAAGAGGGAGTTGTAATGACTAGTGAACTTAAACCAGGAATGTTCAGTGTCTGGCTGCTGACACAAAACACACACACACACACACACAATACTAATACACACACACACATATATATATATATATATATATATATATATATATATATATATATATAAAATATATATATATATATATTCAGCATTACTAATTAGATAATGGGGTGTCAGTGAAAAAGAAAATATCATCCTCACGTCCGGGCAAAAAATCCTGATTTTTTTTTTTTGCGTCTTGTTCAATCATTGAGCAGTAATGATGCAGTAGATCGAAGGTGAAGCGAAACGGTTTACTTCCTGTAGGTGTGTGATGTGTGTACTTATCTGTATGTAGTTGCAGAGGCTGGCTTACAGCTCCTGGCCCCTGTGTGTATGTGCGTGGTAAAGAGAGTCATTGTAGTCATCAATACATCAACTGTAGTTATAGCAGAGCACAAAGTGGAGATTATAGGGAGAACTTCAATGAAGCTGAGGTAGCCATCTGTTGACGTTAGTTTACCTGGTTACCTGGAGGTTATTCCGGGGATCAACGCCCCCGCGGCCCGTCCATGACCAGGCCTCCCGATGGATCAGGGCCTGATCAACTAGGCTGTTACTGCTGGCCGCACGCAGTCCAACGTACGAGCCACAGCCCGGCTGACCCGGGCACTGACTTTAGGTATCTGTCCAGCTCTCTCTTGAAGGCAGCCAGGGGTTTATTGGCAATTCCCCTAATGCTTGATGGGAGCTGTTGAACAGTTTTGGGCCCCGGACACTTATGGTGTTTTCTCTTAGTGTACCAATGGCGCCCCTACTTTTTTATTGGCGGCATTTTGCATCGCCTGCCCAGTCTTTACTTTCGTAGGGAGTGATTTCTGTGTGCAGATTTGGGACCATTCCTTCCAAGATTTTCCAAGTGTAGATTATATATCTCTTCCCTCCTGCGTTCCAACGAGTACAAGTCAAGTGCTTCCAAGCGTTCCCAGTAGTTAAGGTGCTTGACAGAACTTATACGTGCAGTAAAGGATCTCTGTACACTCTCTAGATTGCGATTTCACCTGCTTTGAATGGAGATGTTAATGTACAGCAGTATTCCAGCCTAGAGAGAACAAGTGATTTGAAAAGGATCATCATGGGCTTGGCATCTCTCGTTTTGAAAGTTCTCATTATCCATCCTATCATTTTCTTTGCACGTGCGATCGTGGCACTGTTGTGATCCTTGAAAGTGAGATCCTCATTATTATTATAATCAAAAAAGAAGCGCTAAGCCACAAGGACTATACAGCCGTGAGATCCTCAGACATTACTACTCCCAGGTCCCTTACATTATTTTTCCGCTCTACTGTATGGCCGGAGTCAGTAGTTTACTCTGTTCTAGTTATTATCTCCTCCAGTTTTCCATAACGGAGTAGTTGGAATTTGTCCTCATTGAACATCATATTGTTTACCGTTGCCCACTGGAAAACTTTGTTTATATCTTCTTGGAGGTTAACCGCGTCCTCAGCAGATGACAGCCTCATGCAGATCCTAGTATCATCCGCAAAGGATGATACGGTGCTGTGGTGTATATCTCTGTTTATGTCTGATATGAGGATAAGTAGTGAAGGATAAACATTGCTTGTGTCAGGTGCGTTCTGTTGTTGCTACTTTCTCCTTACAACAGACCAACAGAGTCACCGTTGACTGTCTACCGCCAACAGAACCACTGTGACCAACACTGAAAGTATAGAAAGGATAAACACTCAAAAGTTCACTATTACCAGATCTGCGAAAGAGAAGATTCACGCATTATAATCTGTATATTATATATATATATATATATTATATATATATATAATATAAATATATATATATATATATATAATATATATATGCAATAGATCAGTAAACAGGTAATAACAATGTGCAGAACAACCACTGTGAGAAAATAGTGTAATTTCAGTGACTTTCCTGAAATTATCAAGGAATTATAGTTCCTTGATAATTTCATTACGGTTATACCAATTTCATTGCGATGATACTAACTTCATTACAATTATATTAACCTCGAAATAGTTACACTAACATCATTACAGTTATTTTAACATCATTGCAGTTACATTAACGTCATTAAAATGCCATTTATTCCGAAGTTGATTCTAATGTATACTTGGTGTGTGGCGTCGAAGGTTAGTTGAACCATTAAAGATAATTTCTGTGTAGTGAACAGCGAGGTAAGCGGGTTGGAGGCTCCATCCTCCGTCCTATAATACGCTGTCGAGTCTCTGAACAACCAGGCTGTTGCTACGAGCTTATTGCAGCTGTAGTCAGTGTATGATAGTGTAACATTATCTTTCTCAATGTCAACAGTAATTCTCACACAGGGGGATGTGAATAATTTTATAATGTGTGGGTAAAGGTGCTCGTGTATAGATGTTTTGAAATGTACACATATGTCATTTTTAGTTTCTCAGCAGTTTTTTTTATTTTTATTAACTGTTACGACTTAATCTTCACCGTAACAATAGGGGCACAAATAACTCCATTTTTTTTTGTTAGTTTTATTTTATTACCAATCGTTTAGTTTCATTGGTATTTGGTTAGTGAATTAAAATAACCACAAGCAATTATAAATGAAATACTATACAGCAAGAAACCCAATCTTACATTCAAATTCTCATTAACGGAGTATGATACAATAATTTCAATTAATAATCTACTAATCTCACCATT